GAGGCAGAGAGTGCCCCATAAATTGCCCAGATATCCCATATCAAACTTGTTTCATAGTAAAGCATCCAATACAAATATAGGGGTGAATTCACCTGTCAATAGGCTCGCCCGTGAGATTAATTCTTTTATAAAGTCCACTCCAGATGTTGACATATATCATGACACCATAAAAGTCTTTAAGACCCGAATACTGGAATCCCCAAACCGCACAACTTAGTTTACTATGTAACTATATGTATGTAAAATATTAGATGAGTACGTATTAGTAGTAAGTGTCCATATCTCATTTTTCTGATAAAAATGTTCATATCCTTAGCTTAATATATTTTATAACATTAAAATTTTTACGAAACATGCTTTTTTTCTTCTTTTGTTAATCTAATGTTAATTACGTTAGTAGTAGTTTCTTTTTTAGTAACTAAAATTTTATTGTTCTCGTTCATTTTTGTGTCTATAGTTTTTATTATCACTTAAGTACTTAAATGTTAGTTAACCTATAATTGGCGACTGTATAAGCCAAATACTTATTGTTACTTTCAGAATCACTTAATACTATGTATACAGAAGCTGTTGGTATACCTATTTAAATAAATAAATCCGGGGTCGAATTGAGTATATTTTGCTTAGCAATTTTTAGATAACAATATTAGTGAGTAGACAGTGCTTGTTGTTTGGCGGTAGTCTAGTCATCTGTTGACATAAGTGGTATGTTGTTGCAGGCGAGGTGAAGCCCGGCCTGCCCGAGCTGTCGGCGCCGCCATTCTCTGCGACAGTTGGCAACCACACCTACACCTTCTCAGAGATGGCGTCCACTCTTGGCTCCGCGATATTCGTCGTGCCACTCTTGTCCATCCTCGAGAACATCGCTCTCGCTAAAGTTTTCTGTGAGTTGCACTTACTTTATGAAATGTTGTAAGTTCACGCTTCTATCTGCCGCTAAAATGTTTATGCCGATGGATTGGCAGACTCGGAGGAGCATATTATTGTATAATGTACACGCAGTTTTCACCAGTTATGTAAGAAGTCTCACATAACACGGGTGACATTTTCAGATCTACGATACTCGCACAAATATTAAGTTACTTAAAATTTAATTACTGGGTTATCTCATGTGCACCACTTGGCTAAATGTAGCGTGTGTTGTGTAGCGGAGGGCAAGTACGTGGACGCGACGCAGGAGATGGTGGCGCTGGGCGTGTGCAACATGGTGTCGTCGCTGGTGCACTCCATGCCGGTGTCGGGCGCGCTGTCCCGCGGCGCCGTCAACCACGCCAGCGGCGTCGCCACCACCGCCGGCGGCCTGTACACCGGCGCACTCGTGCTACTGTCGCTGCAGGTACGGAGTACATGCACCGTCCGGCACGCAGCCCCGAGTTACTACAGTCCCCCGCGCGCTAACGTGTGTCCGTGTGTTCGCAGTACTTTACGCCGTACTTCTACTACATCCCCAAAGCTTCACTGGCTGCCGTCATCATTGCCGCGGTCGTCTTCATGATGGAGCTGCATGTCTTTAAACCTATTTGGAGAACTAAAAGTCAGTAACTATTTTACTTAAATGTCACATAATACATTACAAATGAAACGCACACTGCATCGCTTCATTTATTGTTATCTACCAACAGAGTTGGATCTAATCCCTGCGGTGGTGACGTTTGTGACGTGTCTCATGCTGCGACTGGAGCTGGGCATCGTGATCGGTATCGCAGTGAACCTCGTGTTCCTGCTGTACGCATCCGCGCGACCTTCTGTCAAGGTCACCACGGCCGTGGTAAGTAGAGAGCAGACAGTGTGTGTGTGTGTGTGTGTGTGTGTGTGTGTGTGTGTGTGTGTGTGTGTGTTTTTGTGTGTGTATGTCGAGTGACGGCGTGCCGCACCTGGTTGCGGTGGTGGCCCGGTCGCTGTAGTGACAGTGTGTGTGTTACAGTCGAGTGACGGCGTGCCGCACCTGGTTGCGGTGGTGGCCCGGTCGCTGTAGTGACAGTGTGTGTGTTACAGTCGAGTGACGGCGTGCCGCACCTGGTTGCGGTGGTGGACCGGTCGCTGTCGTTCCCGTCGGCGGAGTTCGTGCGGCGCGCGCTCCGCAAGGCGGCCGAGCGACACCACACGCGCACTCCGCTCGTGCTGGATGCTACACATGTACAGGCTGCTGACTTCACCGCTGCCAAGGTGTGACTCTTGTCTTTTCATAGGTAACATGTGCCTAAAGTTAGCGATTCAAGCTTACCATGTGTACCACTATGTGCAGGGCATCAAGGCGCTGATCGACGACTTCCACGCGCGCGGGCAGACGATAATATTCTACAACGTGAAGCCGTCCATCGCCGAGGTGTTCCGCGGCGTGCGGCCGCGCGAGTTCCTGCACTGCTCGGGCCGCGCGCAGCTCGACGCCTTGCTGCGCCGCCACGACCCGCGGCAGATCACGTGTTCGTATGCACTCTGCTACTCCGTGGATATATTGCCTACATAAACCTATAGCCCGACGTCTAACTGAACATTTTGTCCACAGAGCGCTCAACGAGCCGACATCTCTCAGATCTCCGCAGTACCTTGACACACGAGACAGTATTTATTAGCTATACCTATGTATTTATACTAGCCTAGTTATTGTTAAGTAGCCTAAGTGTTGACAGTCTCACGGACGCAGTCAAATAAACGTGTTGGTTATTTTATCACATTGTTTCCTTCTGCACCCAGCTTCTGTCTGTTGTGCATTGGTACGCTGACAGAGGTTTGTTACTTGGGTCTGTTCGAGATCGACCGACATGCTCTGAGGAAGTCAACCACCGCACACCGGCTGAACAGCGAAAGTAAAAATAATTGCTGAAGTTTCATTCCCAGGTTAAAGTAAGGTATTCTTCAGATTACCAAGGCGAAATGTGGGTGTTTTTATGTAGAAAGACGAGATGAAGTAAAACTGCGAGCTTAGGATAATTAAATGTTTATTTTACATTCGTCGTTACATCCTTGATGCAGTCGCATCGGTCGTCTCAGTCGCATCACTCGCACAGCCATCGCTTACTGCGGCGCTTTCTTACAAAACCTTACTTTTTGGTTGCACTACTATTATTTTTTTAAAGATTACATTGGAATTACATTAGATCTAACTTAACTTAACATTCACTAGGACTATCCAGTACGCAGAGACTCAGTAAATCAATATAAAATGGCTAAATAATCTCGCGGACTCTCGACACTAGTTTGAGCAGCGGCACAACATAAACACTTGTATACATCGCCACAAGGTTCGTTCCAAAAGGAAGAGTTCTACAATAAGGTGAGCGGGAGTTGACGTAGAGACAAGGATCCCTTCGTTTGACACGCGCAGTGGCCGGCCCCGCGGCTCTGCTTGCTATCTCTCACACTACTCGGCACTTACTTACGATATGACACAATAACTATAAACAAGTCGACTACTTAACGTCTCGAATACAAAGTTTATCAATAAAATATAATAAATGTCGAATAATCACAAAATTACACTAGGACATTAGGACATTACGCTAGCATCACATTACGAACAGTGTACGATGGCGGCGCAATCTCTTCGAATGTCCGAACTTACAAAAGTGAATAGAAAAAGTGTTCGTAAATACTATCTAGCACAAAGATATAAACGAATCAATACGCAGACTTAGAAACGCGAATATTTGGCGTCCTTACACTACACAAGGTATGCGGCGGGCGGCGGGCGCGGCCGGGGCAGTACTGAGTATCGGGCCGGCGCCGCCCGGCCGCCGGGCGCGGCGCGCTACCGGAGGTACTAAACGATATCTATATAAATGCAAGACAACCTCGGGTGTCGCGTCGCGTCGCCTCCGTCTTATCACGTACGTCACTTGAAGTACAGTAAGTTAATAAAAAACGAGAGAACTTAATTATCTACACATTATAAAATATATTAAATAGTATTACGTAAATTCTAACTTAAAATTGAATCTCTTAGATTTCAAACTCAAATACATTTTGTGCGGTCTTCTGATCCGCGTTCAACAACACATAAAGAATTAATTATAATTTTGTAAATGATTTAAAGCCAACACGACCATGAGATCGCTTCCAACGTATCAACTTGAGCCGACGTTATAATAATGAGCATCGTCCCGCAGCTTCATACAGACTAACTTTGTCACATTACACAGTACTTGATTACTACACGTACTTACATCATTACGGTTGTTCATCACAAGTCCTACTCTATACATTGAACAAGATACTTTTGTACGCATCGCCCTGTCGGCCCAATGTAACCGACATCCGAATATAAATTCAAAATATTGCAGGCGGCAGACATATTTCATTAAATCGAGTTATACTGAATAGATATTTAAAATATGGGTACTATAGATTGCAATATTTTTGTGTATTTTTCGCCTATCACTATAAAATGTTATCTAATGTCTGAAGAAGACCTTATAACCGGTCCGCCACGGCGGCATCACGAGGGGGGGGGGCACCTCAGTACTTCAGCAGGTCGTCGTCAAGCTCAGTGAGCGCCAGTTTACTGTCTATCGCTGGAATGGAAAACAACAAGTCATTAGTACACAGTCGTGGCACTGCGGGCCCGCGCCGCACTGCGGGCCCGCGCCGCACTGCGGGCCCGCGCCGCACTGCGGGCCCGCGCCGTACTTCGGGCCCGCGCCGCACTGCCGCGGTACGAAGCGGAACACGACGCAATCAACAGTTACAACATGTACACTCGACGTCTTCACTACACCTCTACTTCATCTAGATTACAATCAATACAGAACAAAACCAATATTCCTGATAAACAATGTAAACCATTACTACCAACCATGATGAGTGATGCATCCTGCTGGAGATACCGGCGACTGTCGACCAGTGACCCCCTACTGCGACCTGTACCTATATCACCGACACCATATTATGTATGTGCAGACAAACATTATGTATGTGTGCCTTCCTCCTCGGGACACAAGTTTCAAGGGAACCTATACGCCACACCAGATACAAAATTAAACCAAATGTGTAATGAAAAAGACACGTGATCAATTGTCAAAGACTTGACACTGAGTAGCAAACTCATTGCTTTAGCGGTGGAACGTACGCGGCAACATAAGCTGACACAGAATGTTGTAGTACCTCGCCTGCAGGTACTGCGCCCAGCTCCGGCCGCGGGGCTGCTCGCTGCCCAACTCTATACGGTCCAACCGGGGCGGACTTCGGCTAAAATATTAAACTGCACGTATATATCGTCTCGCAACCGACCACTTTAGATATGAATATTTGTAAACATGTTCAGTACTATAGATGTAACAAGTGTACTATAATATGCGCATGCCACAGTCGCTCGTAGCGAGCAGCCTGCAGTACAGTACCTAGCGGCCAAGTACTGCGCCCAGCTACTGCCGCCGGGGGCACGCGGCGGACCACTGGCGGCGTCCGGCTTCACCTCATCATCCACTTGTCTCGGGGGACTCGGCCCGACCACGCTGTACAAACATTACAAATAAACACGCTACAAAGCAAATATTTCCCATTGATGTTATATTACTCCAACCGAGATTCGAGGCCATCTGACACAATGTGAGTGATCTAAAAACAACTAAAATGAGAGTAATTTATATCAGCAACGATGAATGTACGGATGTACTAATAAATGATCCCATCGAGTAAGCAGACAGCACGGCACACCCTGCCCAGCTACTATACCGGAGGTACTCCGCCCATTTCCGCGGGGGCTCTTTACTGGAACCTTGTTCCGACGACGACTCCTCCTTGCTGCTCTCTCCTACAGTAGACTGTAGAGTAGACGGACTAAAATATAATAAAATAGATTAACGATACTAATTCAATTATGAATTAAACGGATGGTTATGAATGATGAAGCCATCGCCCGCTGCCACCTATTTAACCAAAGCCCAATGTGTCTGCTCGGCCCGTGAGAGCCGGGCGCTCGCCAGTACCTAGTCCGCAAGTACTCCGCCCAGCTGAACCCGGGCGGTCTGCGCGGCCTCTCCTGCGCCGCGTCTACGTCCGCGTCTCTCAACGAAGTACGCCGTCTCGCGCCGGGACTAAAATATAACAACTACATGAGTACAACCGTCCTCGCAGTACACCGCGACCTAGCTCATGTAGCATACAACACAGAGAGCAGATATGGTACACCAGCTGTACAGTAATGAAGTGACAACCCGGATGAAGCGGACAACACTGCGACCGTAGCACCGAGCCTAGCAACACCAACAAGACCCTCGCTCTGTATACCTCTCCGCCAAGTACTCGGCCCAGCTCCAGCCGCGCCCGGGCAGCGACTGGGCGCGGTCCCTGCTGCGACAGGCAACGTATCAACTCCACTGCATCTACAACTCGTAACATGACACGTTCAGTGCACGTCGGGGAGTGCTAATCAATATACTTACTTTGGTCCGGGATAGTAGTATGGTGGGGGTCGCTCGTACTCAGTAGAGCCGAGGTAGCGGGGAGGTCCCTCTTCCCAGTGCCTGCAACACACAGTCCTCGTCAGCTCCAGTCACACCGACGTCGTCGTATGTAAGTACGAGACTCGATTTAAAGTGATCGTGCGGGTACTACTGGTACTACCGACACATTATGTCAGCAGTGCAAATGATAAATGAAATAGTCAGGCTGTTCAAGTAATATTTATGCTTTCTTAGGTTTACCGCATACTAAACTTGCGATGACAAGTAGTAGTGTCGGCGTTGCGTGCATGCAGGGAGTCCAACAACAAAGGTGAAGTAATACTGACTTTGGCGCCATATCATTATATCTGCGCGCGTGGTATGCGTCGAGAGGCGGCGCCAGGGCGGCGTCGGCGCGGACGGCGCGCGCGTCGAGCGGCGCGGCCGAGCGCGGGC